GACTCCAAAACCACGCGACCGGCACAGTTCGCGCTGGCGCTGGGCGACGCCAAGCTGCTGGTGCGGGGCGGGCTGCTTGGCGCGGCGCAGGACGCGAGCCTGCTGCTCACCGACTTCCCCGTGGCCACGCTGCGCCCGCTGTTCCGCGGCGTGCCGGCGCTGCGCCACGCCGTCCCCGCCGCGCCGCCCGCGCCGGGGGCGGGCGGCGGCGGCGGGGCGGCGCCGCCGCGCCCTCCCTGGCTCGACGCGCTGGCCTCCTCGCTGTCGGGCGCGGTGGGCCGGCTAGGCAGGGGCCTGCTGACCCCGGCGACGCGCAGCGGGCTGGCCGCGGCGGCGGCGGGCGCGGCCGACGGCGGCGGCGGCCGCTCGCCCATCGACGGCCTGCTCTACGTCTCCGGCAGCCTGCGCGGGTCGGCCGCCGCGCCGCGCGGCGACGTCGCCGTCCGCCTCTTCGACGCCGCGCTGGGGGACACGCGCCTGGCGCGCGCCGCGGGGCGCGCCACGCTCTCCGAGGACGCCGCGCTGGCCTTCGAGGTCGACCTGGCGCCCGCGGAGCGCGCGCCCGCCGGCCGCGCCGGCGCCGGCGGGAAGGCGCCGCGCGCCTCGGGCGCCGTGCACGCCGAGGGGTCGCTGGGCCTCGGGCCAGCGGGCGCCGCCGACGTGCGCGTGTCGGTGCGCGATGGCGGCATGGCGCTGATCACCGCCATGCTGCCGGACGTCAGCTGGGAGGGCGGCGGCGCCGAGGTCCTCCTGGAGTGAGTAAGGGGGGTGAGGGAGGAGAGGTTGACGGGCGGAATGCCGGCGGATACGAGGGAGCGGTCATTGATTGGGCGAGGGAGGGACAGCCGGCAGTCGCAGGGGGCCGCCCCATACCCTGGCAAGGAGTCGGGCTTGCTCCGGCAGGGTCCAGGCGGCGGCATGCTGCGTGCGCACTGCTCTGGGGCCCTTCCTCCCGGGGCCGCACCGTCGCCGCCATGCGCTCGCACACTCTGCAGTCCACCCTCTGTCGGACCCCTCATCCCCCGCAAATCCCCAGCAACTCTCGCCCCACCCACCCGCTCTCATCCCCACAGCATCTCGGGCCCCGTGGCCGACCCCATGGTGTCCGGCACGGCGCGGCTGACCAAGGGCGTGCTGGCCTGCCCCTACCTCAAGTTCCCGCTGCGCGGCATCAACGCCCAGGCACGCTGCGAGGACGGCGTCTTCACGCTGGACGCCGCGGAAGCGCGCTCCGGCAGGACGGGCATCATCAGGTGCCTGGGTCTCCTATTTTTTCCCACGCGTGTGTGTGTTGTTTGGGGGCGGGGGAGGGGTGGAGCAGGGGGTTGGTGGACCCTTGTGCTGGAGAATGGGCACCTGGGGGTGCAAGCGCTCAGACGCTTGCGGGTCGCCACTCCTGGGTCTGGCTGGGATCGGTTCCGTGGTTGGGTGGATGGCACGACCTGCGGAGATGCAAGGCGCCTCGTCGCTTTCCTGCGGGAGAATAGCACCTGGTGACGGGGGCCCAAGTGCAACCTCCCAACTCACCCTCCTGCCTGCTCCCCTCCCCTGCAATCACGGCATGGCCTTTGGGCGTGCCGCTGTCACGGCCAGTCACCAACCCCCTTGCGCCACCCGCATCACAGACCCCCTTCCTTTGAGGCCCCCACCCCCCCCCACTCTCTCGCCCCGCCTGCAGGGCCAAGGGCTGGCTACCCCTCACCGCCGGCGGCGCGGCTCGGATGCAGGCGGCGCGCGGCGCGGCACCCGACCCCGCCCCCGCCCCCCTGCTAGCGGCCGAGGCCTCCAACCTGGAGCTGCGAGTGCGCGGCGCGGCGGCGGTGCGTTTCGAGGCGGCGCTGGAAGCGCGCGGGTCGCTGGCCGCGCCCCGCGTGGGCGGCCGCCTGCGCGTCAGCCACGGCACCATCACCGTGCTGCCCGGTTCGGTGGAGAGCGCGGCCATCGGCGGGGGCGGGGAGTCACCCACCACGAGGGCCCCGCCCGCCGCGCAGGGCCCCGTCTCCCGCGCCTTTGACGCGCTGGTCCGGGGCAAGGGCCGGCTGGCGGAGCGGCTGGAGGCGGCGCTGCGCCGGGAGGTCGCCACCGTGGTGCGCACCGGCGGCGTGGCAGGCGGCGGGGGGGCGAGCGCGGCGCCCCTCGCCGCTGCGACGGCCGCCACGGCGTGGCCCGGGGCCGGGCCCCCCCCCGCGCTGCCCACCCCCTGCCGCCCCCGCTCGCCGCCAGGCTGGAGGGGCTGGAGGTGACGCTGGGGCCGGACCTGCGGGCGGTGGTGCCGGTGGTGATGAATGTGGGCGTGGAGGGGCGTCTGGTGCTGGACGCTGGCGCCGGCGGCGACCCGCGCCTGCGCGCGCGCGGCCGCCTGAGCCTGCCCGGCGGCGACCTCAACCTGGTGGCCACCCAGCTGAGCCTGGATCGGGAGCACGCCAACGCGCTGGTCTTCGCTGGCGACCCTGACCCGAGGGTGGACCTCGTGCTGCTGGGCGGGGACCTGCGCGTCGCCATCCAGGCGAGCCGGGCCAGGGCGATTCTTTTGTTTGGGTGGGGGGGGGGGGGGCGGGGC